TCCACACCCCCCCCCCCCGGGGGGGCTGTACCTCGGCTGCTGCTGCTTTCCACGTCACGCTCGTTGATGGGGGAGGTGACGTCTCTGTACCGGAGGTCTCCCCCTTCGGTGCCGCTTCCCTCGTCACTGAAGGTCACGTAGCCTTCCGGAGGGACCTGCTCTGTGTGGAAAATGGAGATGGAGAGGAGAAAAGGGAGGTGAACGAATGAACGGAATTGCCAGGATCCAGGGCTATTTTGGGGCAGGAACGCACAGGAATGGAGTTCCGGCTGGCTCCCGAGTTGGCCATGCCCAGCAGGAACTCATTAGCATGATAGGCCACACCCAACAGCAGGAACTTATTAGGATTGGCTACATTCGGGGTGTGTGGCCTAACATGCAAAGGGTTCCTGCTACTAAAAAAGCCCTGGGTTTTGACAACAAACAGAATAAGAAGCAAAAGGTGGGTGTGGCTGAATGACCACACTTCTGGTGACATGGAGGTGTGGCCTAATATGCTAATGAGCTGCTATGTCGAGGTGTGGCATAATATGCTAATGAGTTCCTGCTGGGCTTTTTTTGTAGTTCCTGCCAGGATCCATTTTAGTCATACATCGTCTGGCCCACCTTGTCGGAGAGCGGGGTGCCGGACAACGGCTCGACTTGCTGAGAAATACCAAACGAGGTGGGATCTACAGCGGAATGAAGAGCCAATAACAAGCGGACTGTATATAGCCCAAATAAAGGCCAAACAAATAATTATATCTGTGCCTGTTTTTGTCATTCTTCATCACGCATAAGTAAGAGACTCTTACACAGCAGACAGAAAATCTTGCCAACGTATACAAAAGATAGGAACCTCAAGGGACACGAAACCAAATGTAAATTGGGAAACTGGCAGAGGTCATTTCGGGGGGGAACGCGGGGGAACGCAGTTCCCCCAGGTGAGGTGCAGAGGGGCGGGGCACATGACGAAGCCCCGCCCCCTGCTTCCGGCCGCCCCGCTTCTGGCCCTCATTCAGCCAGGAGGAGGCAGGAGAAGAGGGAGGGTAAGTTGCTTCCTCCCCG